TGCCGTATATTGTTATAACTTATTGCCGTATATTGTTATAACTTATTGCCGTATATTATTATAATATTGTTATTATTATAACTTATTGCCGTATATTGTTATAACTTATTGCCGTATATTGTTATAACTTATTGCCGTATATTATTTATAATTGCTATTATATATTATTATAACTTATTGCCGTATATTGTTATAATTGCCGTATATTGTTATTATTGCCGTATATTGTTATAACTTATTGCCGTATATTGTTATAACTTATTGCCGTATATTGTTATAACTTATTGCCGTATATTGTTATAACTTATTGCCGTATATTGTTATAACTTATTGCCGTATATTGTTATAACTTATTGCCGTATATTGTTATAACTTATTGCCGTATATTGTTATAACTTATTGCCGTATATTGTTATAACTTATTGCCGTATATTGTTATAACTTATTGCCGTATATTGTTATAACTTATTGCCGTATATTGTTATAACTTATTGCCGTATATTGTTATAACTTATTGCCGTATATTGTTATAACTTATTGCCGTATATTGTTATAACTTATTGCCGTATATTGTTATAACTTATTGCCGTATATTGTTATAACTTATTGCCGTATATTGTTATAACTTATTGCCGTATATTATTATATATTGTTATAACTTATTGCCGTATATTGTTATAACTTATTGCCGTATATTGTTATAACTTATTGCCGTATATTGTTATAACTTATTGCCGTATATTGTTATAACTTATTGCCGTATATTGTTATAACTTATTGCCGATATATTGTTATAACTTATTGCCGTATATTGTTATAACTTATTGCCGTATATTGTTATAACTTATTGCCGTATATTGTAATATTGTTATAACTTTATTGCCGTATATTGTTATAACTTATTGCCGTATATTGTTATAACTTATTGCCGTATATATTGCCGTATATTGTTATAACTTATTGCCGTATATTGTTATAACTTATTGCCGTATATTGTTATAACTTATTGCCGTATATTGTTATAACTTATTGCCGTATATTGTTATAACTTATTGCCGTATATTGTTATAACTTATTGCCGTATATTGTTATAACTTATTGCCGTATATTGTTATAACTTATTGCCGTATATTGTTATAACTTATTGCCGTATATTGTTATAACTTATTGCCGTATATTGTTATAACTTATTGCCGTATATTGTTATAACTTATTGCCGTATATTGTTATAACTTATTGCTGTATATTGTTATAATTTTCCTAGTTCCACAAAGCAGCAGATTGTGGGAAGAAGCTGCTTGAGTGGAACTTACATCTCACCAATAGAATAAGTCTAAGCTGTGAAGGTCAGAACTGTATTGAAAAATCAGAAAGAAAAGTATTGTCATTGGTCAGGATTTAATGCAAACATTATACCATGTCCATTCAACACATAGGTAATCATGGCACACCAGTTTCCTTTTCTTTATTATATCTGAATTGCCATTTCTTCTTGGAAAAGACAGTAATTTCCTGTTGCTTTCACCAGTTTTGAATTTGGAATTGTCCTTCTCCTAGACTAGCTGCCATCCAAGGCTAGAGAGATCTGTCTGCTCCGCTATTTAACTCATAGGTGGGGTAAAGTTGAGATGGTGTTACTCAAGTGCATTTTTCCAAAAGTGAATGCAACAGACGATGAATTTGAAAGCTTGCCAATTCCAGTTTCTGTATTGATAACCATTATGCTACCAACATATCCTCATTTTTCTTTTACAATGATGTTCACCCTCTACAAGTCCCGCGGGTCATTCAAGGTAGAGTGTTACAGTCTAAGAGGCACAGCTTATGCAGATATGTGAGGAACATAAGTTGGTAGTGCCTGGGAAAGTTTTGTGAGGTAAACAAACACTCATCGCTACTTTTGTAGCATCAATGAATACTCATCACCTTTGTAATACTCGTTGTAGTAGAGACTTTGTAATCGTAGATACTATAGTAATGCCATTGAACAATACTGGTGTCAGATGCCTTCAAATAACACTCACACTAATAGTACTTGTTTGAATACTAACCACCAAATAGTGATCTGAATAGTAATTTGTGCAGTGATCCCTTTGATATCATGCTAATTCCCATATATACATTTCCTTTACTATCATGTGATCTACTTATTCAGAATGAGTTTTGCTCTCTGGTGATATGTGTTCAAACTCCAGTGTTGGCAGTGATGTTTTATTCCTATATAACAGAAAGCAAGTTTTTGCTGCTTTTAAAATCTCCAAGTAATGTGGCTTCTGTTATTTACTACTGTTATTTGTGATTCTGTAGCTCCAGCCAACAAGGTTTAAAGAAGGATCATCCTCACTCAAATCTACAGGTTTCATTTACTCGAAAGCACTTTGAGCCAGTCATCTGAGAAAGCTTTTGTATACAGCTGAGGGTTTAGATATTTCTAAATGGGTTGGCTCCAGATTATGACATCCAGATCAAAGTCTCGATCTGTCAAGGTTATTATGTAACTTTTATTAGAGTATAATATCAGGATTCCTTAACTCTTACAGTGCCAAGTATGACCAATGTCTAAAACAAATGTTCTTATTCATTAAATAACTTTAACAAAAAAACAACTATTAATAAAACAACAATTGTTCTATTATTTGTTGATGCTATCTTTCAAATCATCTCTCCATGTAACTTATTATAGCAATAACAATTACTGGACTTAAGAAACCTATTTTTCTGAATACATGTTTTAATAGAAAGAATATATAAATTTCTGTTGAGAGTAGCATTGGTTATTCTGTCAATAAACACTGAATGTTATCTTATAAGGAAACTGCTAAGATTATAATTACCATATTGTTAGAATTATTTTCTTTTATTAAGAGTTATTAATGTTAATCTCTTATTGTGCCTAATCATACTTATAAAACCCAGGTTGTGTGTGTGTGTGTGTCTCTGTACGTTTATATATTGGATTGGATTTCCTACATTTTTCAACCGATTTCAACAAAACTTCACAGGACTACATAAAATTACCTTGCAGTGGTTCTGACAGCGCCAAAAATTGGAAAAACACAATTGTTTTTGCACGAAATCAATTTGAAAACATGATTAAGAGGCATTGCTTGTCGCGAGAATAAAAGGGGGACAACTCATATCGAGTTATACTTATTATGAAACCCAGGTTGTGTGTGTGTGTGTGTGTGTGTGTTCCTTTATATATGGGATTGGATTTCCTACATTTGTGTTTCTTATTGTCTTGCACACTTTTTTCTTCATTTTTACATTCAGAATACTTTAAAAATTCCATTTACAAGACAATTGTTTATAATAAAATTCTATTCAATCGGTAGACTCATAATGATTGAAAACAATGTTTTTGTTTGAGTTTGACCAATTCGTAAAAAAAAGAAAAATAATTAAGACATGCGGGTCCATCAACCTTAAACAATAATCTTTGTCAATTTTATTTTTTAGTCTTTATGATGGTCGATACTTGATCTATCTCTTACTGTTACATCCCCGGGCAACGCCGGGCTCTACTGCTAGTAATATCTACTGTCATATAACCTTTATCACAGTATGTTGCTATAATTGTTCTATTTCATTATCAGTGTTGATAATTTCTTATTGGACCTAATAACATCTACAGTAAGAATGAATCTTCTCTAGTTAGAATTGTTCTATTTTATTTTTAGTTATTACTGTCAATCTCTTATTTAGCCTAATAAGATCTTCAGTAAGAATGAATCTTCAATCTATCACATAACTTATTACAGTATATTGTCATAATTGTTCTATTTTGTTATGAGTCAGTGTTGTTAATCTTGTCTTGTGCTTAATTTATAAATTAGGCTTCATCATCTGTGTTCAAATTTTACTGTGGTTAATTTGTCAGAAAGGTGACAAATTGGTTTGGAAGAGGTAATCCCAATATGTGGTACCTTTTGGAAAATGCATGGTAACTAAACCATCAGTTGACCCAAGCCTCATGAAAGAAATTGCATAGATGGCATTCTAACATTTCTGTCTACGGTTGTGCTGGCACAAAATCACAAGTCATTGTGACTGAGTGTTTGAGTATCGTGGCCTTGTTCAAACTGTTGATTATGCCAGATCATGCACTTTCTCCAAGAAGCAGCAATTGCTCAGTATTTTTGCAATAAAAATTACAGGCAGACTGTGAGTGTTGAACCCCTCCACCCCAAAAAATAAAACACAAATGTGCCTGATCAGGTGTCTGCAATAGGAATTGGCTAGCTGCCCTAACAGACAGGTGTATTGGAAATGATTAACCAGCCATTATATATATATATATATATATATATATATATATATATATATATATATATATAAATCCATGGGTAAGTAATCCAAGTAGATCCTATCAACATAAAATATTAAAACTGATTCACAAGAGAACTCAATATAATTTTTATTATAGAGCATCTAAGTAAATTACAATTAATGAGATCCAAACAATTTACCTCACATATATTTTATTACTTCAAATGTTATGCTTTCTGTAGCTGAAAATGACAAAGTATGGTGGTTTCTCCTACAAAGGGGGGGGGATACAGGTTCAATCCCTGCCGAAGAGCACATTTTCTTTATTAAGATTTCTTGAGTGTGCATGCCGATAAATGTAATATATACTGTTTATAATAAAAAAAAAAAAAAAAAACAATTAAAATGGGGCATTTATTTCCAATACAAGTATCCACTAAACAATAATGTTAATTGTAGACTCCAGAATGTTTTCAATGGCTGCATGTTATGCATCTCGCCAGGGCCATGTAATGGTTTTGAATTCGGAGTAATTGTTTTAAACACGTTGCTAACCATAGCATGAGAGCCTAGTTTGGCTCAGCTTTTCTTTTTTTTTTTTTTTAACCCTAAGCAGAGAAGAGATGGATTCATACTTTTTGCAAAGGGTATTTTTGTAAAAGTGAATGCAAACAAATGTGGATGGAATTCGAACACGGACCAAAAATCTTTATCAGAATCACTAACTGCTGTTAATTAAATGCACATGCATCAGGAGGGAGATAAAGATGATGAGAAGAAACGACGAGGAGAAACAACAACAATGACAACAAGAAGGAATGAATGAGGAGGAGAATGAATGAGGAGGAGAATGAATGAGGAGGAGAATGAATGAGGAGGAGAATGAATGAGGAGGAGAATGAATGAGGAGGAGAATGAATGAGGAGGAGAATGAATGAGGAGGAGAATGAATGAGGAGGAGAATGAATGAGGAGGAGAATGAATGAGGAGGAGAATGAATGAGGAGGAGAATGAATGAGGAGGAGAATGAATGAGGAGGAGAATGAATGAGGAGGAGAATGAATGAGGAGGGAATGAATGAGGAGGAGAATGAATGAGGAGGAGAATGAATGAGGAGGAGAATGAATGAGGAGGAGAATGAATGAGGAGGAGAAAAGAGCAGGATAAAGACGAGGAGGAACGGGGAGAGGAAGAGGAGGCAAAGATTGCAGGCAAAGATTGCAGGAAAAAAAAAGAATAAACTTTACAAAACCCAGCTGGTCTTTGTCAACCTCCACAAGATATATAGACATATTTCAGGCGATCTCTCATGAGGCCAAGCAAAACAAAAGCACAAAAAATAAAAAACAAACAAATCACAGATGGCTAAATACAGGCAACAGTAAAAGAGAATGTAACTTTGATTAAACAAAATTATCAGTCCAACAAATGGTAGAAAGCACCACTGGTTTGTGACAGATACAATAGGATATTAGACACATGGCATCAGAGGACAGATTGGATGATTTTTTTTTTCTTTGTGTGTTGGCAGTTAGGGGATGGAAAGATTCTAAAAAGGGTCTAAAAATAAAAGCTAACCAACCAATCACAGTGTAAGCAAGAGCCCAAAAGTTAACTGAATTCTTTGACTGGGAAAAAAAAAGAGGGAAAAGAAAAAAAAAAAGAGGGAAAAGAAAAAAAAAGGGAAAAGAAAAAGAGAGAGAGTGTGTGTGTGAGTGAGTGTGTGTGTGTGTGTGTGTGTGTGTGTGTGTGTGTGTGTGTGGAGTGAGTGTGGTGGGTGTGTGTGTGTGTGGAGGGAGGTGTGGAGGTGGAGGTGTGTGGTGGTGGTGGGTGTGTGGAGTGAGTGAGGTGTGTGGTGTGTGTGGTGAGTGTGAGTGAGAGGTGGAGGTGGGTGGGGAAGTGAGAGTGGTGGGTGGTGTGTGGAGAGAGAGAGAGAGAGAGAGAGAGAGAGGACTGTCAAGAGAGAGAGAGAGAGACAGGTGAGGAGAAGAGAGAGAGACACAGACGAGGGAAGAGAGAAGAGAGACACAGAAAGAAGAGAGAGAGAGAGACAGAGAGAAGACGGCAAGAGAAGAGAGAGACACAGAGAGGGGGAAGAGAGAGAGAGAGACAAATGAGGGTAAGAGAGAGACACAGAGGAGGGAAGAGAAGAGAGAGACACAGACGAGGGAAGAGAGAGAGAGAGACACAGACGTGAGGGAAGAGAGAGAGAGAGAGACAGGGAAGAGAAGAGAGAGAGACAGAGGAAGAGAGAAGAGAGAGAGACAGACGAGGGAAGAGAAGAGAGAGAGAGACAGGGAGAGAAGAGAGAGACAGACGAGGGAAGAGAGAAGAGAGAGACAGAGACGAGGGAAGAGAGAGAGAGAGACACAGACGAGAGAGAGAGAGAAGAGAGAGACACAGACGAGGGAAGAGAGGAAGAGAGAGACAGACGAGGAAGAGAGAGAGAGAGACAGAGTAAAGGGGAAGAGAGAAGAGAGAGAGAGACAGAGGGAAGAGAGAAAGAGAGAGAGACAGAGTAAAGTGCCAAGAGAGAGACAGAGTGTAAAGGCCAAGAAGAGAGAGAGACAGAGGAGGCACAAGAGAGAGAGAGAGAGTAAAGGCAGAGAGAGAGACAGAGCAAAGAGAGAGACAGAGAGAGAGACAGAGAGAGACAGAGGTAAAGAGAGAGAGACAGAGTAAAAAGGGCAAGAGAGAGAGACAGAGGTAAGAGAGAGAGAGAGAGGAGGCAAAGAGAGAGAGACAGAGAGAGAGAGAGAGAGATGGCAGAGAGAGAGAGACAGAGGTGAGGAAGAGAGAGACAGGAGAGAACGAGAGAGAGAGAGAGGCAGAGAGGACAGAGTGAGAAAGAGAGAGACAGAGACAGAGGTAGGAAAAAGAGAGAGACAGAGAGCAAAGTAGAAAGAGAGAGAGACAGAGAGTGTGCGAGAAAGAGAGAGACAGAGGAGTGTGAAGAAAGAGAGAGAGACAGAGAGGAAAGTAGAAAGAGAGAGAGACAGAGAGCAAGGAGAAAGAGAGAGAGACAGAGAGGCGAAAAGGAAAGAGAGAGACAGAGACAGGTGCGAGAGAGAGAGAGACAGAGAGTGTGCGAGAAAGAGAGAGAGACAGAGAGTGTGCGAGAAAGAGAGAGAGACAGAGAGTGTGCGAGAAAGAGAGAGAGACAGAGAGTGTGTGAGAGAGAGAGAGAGAGAGAGACAGAGAGTGTGAGAGAGAGAGAGAGAGAGAGAGACAGAGAGAGAGTGAGAGAGAGAGAGACAGAGAGGGTGAGAGAGAGAGTGTGAGAGAGACAGACACACACACAGTGTGAGAGAGACACAGACAGAAAGAGAGAATTTCTTTGCTCGATTTATAATGGGATACACCTTTACATGCAAATACATTTGCACCAAAATATGTATATATTTATCTACACACCCACATTCTAATCTCTGTACATAGGTACATATAATCATGTAATGGGCCAATTTATTTTTCTTTCCTTTTCACCACAAAAGAAACTTTAATTTTGGGAACCAAAAGCAATATTTTTTTTCTTTTTAAGCACACAATTAGTTTTTATATTTTTTCATTTATCCATTTTTTTTTCATTATCAAGGAAACCTTATTTCATGTTTGAATTGAAAATCAGAACAAGTTTTTTATATATATATATATATATATATATATATATATATATATATATATATAAAAATGAGGGGGATCAGAACAAATTTTTATAATTTTTATATCTTAACAGTCCTGGAGGAAAGATGTATGACAAAGTGGAAAAATTATTCTTGTGATGTGTTTCATCCCTGAGAATGACTTCATCAGACTAGGATTTTTTATGTTGATGCAACTAAACATGTGCACAAATGAGAGATACTGAGAATTTTAAATTAATCTAGCCAATTTCATTTAGATTCTTTTTATTTCCATCATCTTTGTTATTAAATATCCCATACTGTGATAATAGATCTGCCAAGAAAGGTGAAATGTAGTAAGAACCTGGATGCAAATTGACTGTGAATGAAATAGTGATTAAAGCACTTTCTATACATTTTCATTTTACTGAATTATTTTCTCTTAATTAGAGTATGATTTTTTTTATATCAAAATTGTGGTCAGTCTTGTTATGGTGAGCAACTAAGGTGTTTAATGTGTATTTTTTTAAATCTATCTTTTGTGTTCATATAAATCTTTTATTCAAACTTCTTGAGGTTTCTCCAATATATTCTTTCTGGCAATTTTTTCTGGTGATAGAGTAAATTGCTCCTTCCAGTTTTGGCATGTTGTTTTGTATTAAGTCTTTTATTGTTTTAGATGTAATTGTAACAAATTTTATGTTGAGTTGAGATAAATTTTCAATCGTAGTTATGATAGAGCTAGTCGGTAGAACAATATTTTTTGGTGGATTCATTGAGTTTGTCAGGAAGGGCAGCTTTTCTATTTTAGAATATTTTATGAGCCTTTCATATCCTATTGAATATGAAATAGGATCTTGAAAGTATTTTCAATGTATTTCGCCTCTTCATGTAAATATTGAGGGTTGCAAATTCTGAATGCTCTTAAATAGAATCCAATGATTAATCCAGATTTTATTCTGTTGCTATAATGAGAATAGAAAATTCTAGTGCCCACTGAAAATCTACTAATAAAAATATTTTATATCTGAGAGAGAAAAAAAAAAAAAAAACCAACACTGAACTAATTGAGTTTCTTTTTTCCGGGTAAGATGTTCAGCCATCTTGACACAATTTGTCATAAGATTCACTGAGAAACACTGAGTTATTCAGGTAGAAAAAGAAAAGGTTAAAATTCTTTTGTGTTAACCCACTGTCTTCCCAATTGAGAAATGGTGAGAAAAAAGATAATTTAAGCCTTCAGTAATGGTACCAACATTCATACTCTGGCTCCCATTTTCAAAGTCCGTTCAAGAACCATCCAGAGAATGTGGAATAAGTTTAAAAAAGAGGAAAACTGGATCAGGAGGTTACACCAGGAAGAGGGACCATCATTTCAACAGAGCTAAAGAAATCAGTTAGAAAAGATCCAACTCAATCCATAAGATGTTTGGCACATGAGAGAATGGTTTTGGTAATGATAGTCTAAAGAGCAGTGAAAAACACTCAAAATTGAAATGGTATGTGAAATGTGTGGGGCACCTTGTAACTCCAAGACAGAAAGTTAGGTTAGAGAGGGTGAAGATCATCTTGAATAAGTTGGAAAATGATCCGAGAATAATAATTACATATATTTTTGAACTTTAGTTCAATCCATCATGAGCTTCCAATGCTTAGTTATGATTAATTAATGATGAACATGCCATTTTCTTTTATGATCAATTTCGTCATGATTCGCTTGTTAAGCTTGGAGAGTAATTATATATTTTTATTGCTTAAAATAGAGTGCAATAATGTTTTAAAAACATCAGAGAATTCCAGTAAGGTATTTTTAATAATTTCTAAGATACAACGGCTCAAAGCTTAATCTAACAAACGGACAATTTTGCTGTTACATCCAGTGTGTGTGTATATATATATATATATATATATATATGTGTGTGTGGGTATATATATATTAATAGAATGTTTAGAATTTCTCTACCAAAAATAGGTTCTCTGTCATTATCTATGACACTGACATAATTGCATCTCCAACCTGTTATCCCTATATAAATTATCCAAGCAGTTTCTTCCAAAATTTGAAGTGACTGTCTTCTGAAGGAAATCAGTTTACCCACCCATGTCCCCCACATCCACACACACACACACTCTCTCTGCCGGGTGTGGGGGGGGGCAGCCTTGTCCCCCACATTTGCACACACACACACACACACACACTGTCAGTCTGTGTCCCCACATCTGCACACTGTCACTGACCTCATGTCCTCATTTTGCCCCTTTAGCTATGTCGCCATATCTCAGTCAAATTAAAAAGTGCTAGCAAACAAATGCCCCATCATAAAACCTGACCATCCTCATAGATTACAATACAAAGCAGCACACCCATGAATTCACAAACAGAAGCCAGCCCTTTTTTTTTTCCCATGAAACTCAAGCCTGACATGAAATTCAAAATATTACATGATACAGAGAAGCGAGGTGGGCAGTACAGTTCTGAAAACATGAAGTGGACATGTGAGAAAATTAATCACACCACTGTTGTGGGCAAAGAAAAATAAGCTCAAGCCTGACCTAGAGTTTATACAAATAGGTAGAGAAAAGGTTGCACTCTCACATCTGTGTATGTGTGTATATATGATAAATAAATCATATGTATATTTTTTTTAATTATTTAAAATATTTTTTAATATTTCATCTTTAGAAGTTAAGAATTTTAATGATATAAATTATAAATGATTAATTCTAATATTATACACAACAATAATATAAGAAACAAGTCTTAACACACAATTTTAAATCAACATGCAATGGCCAATTTAATGGTCAGTGAGTATTTTGCACCTGAATATTGCATGTTTGTATGAAACAGAGTTGTGCTATCGACATGGGATTTTTGTGTGTGTGTGTGTGTGTGTGTGTGTGTGTATTTTGAACTGCCACCTGTCAAAACTCAGTGCAGTCCATGCGCACATCGACCAGCACATCATAAATGACCAAAGTAGAATTATAAATATAAGACAAATATTATTAGATAACACCAAAATATTCTACAGCACCCAATGCAAGGAAAGACCCCAAACTCTAGAAGCTATTATTATACAAAATAAACAGCCCATATTAAATAAAATATCGTTCACCACAGGAGAAGGTATCTTAAAGTGCATATTATATAATAAATGTGTGAACGTATTTTATTATAACAGTAAATTAAAAAAAAAATAATAATAAATTGCAATCTTTTTATGCAGCCTTGTTTCCAATAGCCATTACACCTGACGTCATGCTAGACCATTTCAAATATCCAGTTTCCCAAAGAAAACCAGGATGCAGACAAAGGAAGTCTAATGACTACAGAGACACAACATTGATTCTTGACTGTGAAAGTCGAAAGTACTTCAACAAAAATAACAAAATTTAAGTTTCAGATATTCTATCCACAACTTGGAGTACAATACTCAACACCTTATCTGGAAGTTGGAAAAATATTAAAAAAAAAAAAAAATTAAGACAGAGCTTGTTGGCTCTTTTAAATCACACTATATATCCATTAAGAAAAAAAAAAAAAAGATCTGATGTATAAAATTATATCAATAAGAACGTTACTTTCATGAAACCCTTTTAGAGGCCGAAATGTGTTACATATCACCCCCCCCCATTCCAATTTGTACTTCAGTTATCCATCTATTTTTTTTGTATTTTTTTATTATCTAACACTTATTACTATGAACATCCTTTCTAGCAAGTACATGTTTGGGTTGACCTGATTTATTAAGAACAGTGAAATTATTGCCGACTAGCCTAGAAAATCAGCAAGTCCTTACAAGAAATGTGCCTTTCCCTTTTTCCCCCATCAGTGAACCCTTTAGCATTTTAAAAATCAAAATTGTGGTTGAATTTATTTATATTTATTTGATTTTAAAAATGCTACACTCATAAAAACAAAAAGAAAATAATTTGCTCAGAAGGAAAATCCTCAAGAGTACTGCCATTGAATATTATCCAAATATTAATATATGCCCCATTTTTTTCTGAATCTTACCTTTCCTCACAGAATCTCTACTCTTCCAAGCCAACATACACAACAAATGTCAAGAAATCAAAATAAAATGGTTGAATCCGTTAACAACAATATAAACAATAATTCTACATGTGAAAAAAATTCTCTTCAAACATAAAAAATAAAGGACATAATTTTTCAGCAGACACAATGAATATATAATAGTGTCTCTAAATTCTTCTAGTTGCTAAAAACATTTTGTTTTTGTTTATAGATACTTTGTTTCAATAAATTCATTTTGTTTTTTTGCTTTAAAAATAAAGTCCACATTGGATGAAACAAGTCAGCTAAAACTACATACAATTTTCCTACTGTCTTGTCCTTGTATATGTGTGTATGTATATATTATTTATTTAAAAATATGATTCAACTCATGACATAAGAGGTCTCATGTTTCAAAACAAGAGCGAAAACTTCAATACAATTATTTGAATTAAATTGAGTTAAAAAATTTTTCTTTTCCATCATCAAAGCAGAAATTTTTTTTAACTTGATGATGGAACAATAATTATATTGAAGTTTTCGGCTCTTGTTTTGAAACATGAGACCTTATGTTGCGAGTTGGAATCATATCTTTAAATAAATAATTATATTTATGCTCTACTTTTCTATTGAGCACTATTTTTTAAAAATAATAACTTAAATTCTAAGGAACTTTGGATTATTTACCTAACCAGTTCCTTCCTATTTTCTATATTTT